ACAACAAAAAATACAAATAAAAAACCAGGCTGGGTGCAGTGGCTTGCGCCTGTAATCCCAGCCCTTGGGGAGGCCAAGGTGGGCGGTTCAACTGAGAACAGGAGTGAAGAGACCAGCCTGGCCAACATAATGAAAACCCTTCTCTACTAAAAATACAAAAATTTTGTGTTTTGTATGTGTGCGAGGCACAATGACGCATGCCTGTATTCCCAGCTACTCTAGAGGCTAAGACAGAAGAATCTCTTGAACCTGGGAGGTGGAGGTTGCAGTGAACCAAGATTGTGCCACGGCACTCCAGCCTGGGTGACAGAGCAAGACTCTGTCTCAAAGACTAACAAAAAACAAAACAGCTACAACAACAAACCCAAAACAGTATTCACAACTGTTCACATAGCATTTATATTGTAGTAGGTATTATATGTAATCAAGAGGTGATTTAAAGTATATGGGAGAATGTGCATGGGTTATATGCAAATACTTTGCCATTTTATGTAAGTGACTCGAACATCCACAGCTTTTGATATCCATGAGGGTTCGGAAACCAATCCCCCCCAACAGATACTGATGTTGAACTCTATATTTGACCTATAGTTTTTAAGAAGTTTTTTTTTAATAGTTGATTACTACAAAGCTTAATGTTGCCATCTACCTAGTAATCATTTATGGGGATATTTGCTGTGGTTAGGCATAAAATGTTTGCATTCTTGATATGAAGTTGGAAATTAGGAAGAAAAGATACAGGGTGAGAGATAAGATGGATACATTTTTATGTCTTGAATTTAGTTTACAGATTTTTCCCTTTTTTCCTCTCAGTAATTTCTCTACACATTATTTTCCGCTTTACATTGTGTTCCTGAAAAATAACCAAAGTTTGTGGTAGTATTGTGTCACGTCTTGCTATCTTGTTGCATTCTATTTTGATTTCAGAGGGGAAAATGGCTCTACATTTCAAATTTGTATGTAGGTTTGTCAAGGGGAGGGTGGTCAGGAGAATGTAGCTGCATTGCTTTTATAGAAAATATGTCTTGACTAGCACTCTGAATCATTAACTGTGGACAGCCAGTGTTCCATTGTATTCCTCACAGATTTAGAGAGGTTATGCCTAGCAATTGTGAGATGTCCAAATATATGCAAGTATAATGCGTTGTAGGAGTATTCTGCTTTATCTCTCTTGAATTGGTTTGCTTCTTCCTGAGCTCCAGAAATAATATATTTTTTTTATTTTTCTCAGAGAATTTTGAGCCTAGTAGAGTGTACACATTTAAGCTTCCTAGCTTCTATAGAAAAGGAGCTTTAAGATAAGGGCATTTACTTCCTTATGGTTTTTTTCAGAGATTGCATACTCAAGAAGAGGAGGAACATAAAGCGTGCGATATCTTCTAAGATTCTGCATGCATTAGGTCTCCATGTGAAAACATAAGGACCTCAACTTTATATGATTATTATATGGCAACTAAGTCTGTGCCCAGCTCTCCTCTTAGTCTATTCTGTACTCTCCCAACTCTCCGATGCTCTTTCACATCATTGAGTATCTTAGCTGGGTGGCCTTGGGAGCACATTGAGTTAAATATCACATGAGGAACTAGTTTGTTGCCTGTTTATATATCAGGCATTTGAAGAAGGTTGAATGCAGTATAACATGAGAACAAATAGTACCCCATTAATGTTTAAACTCTACATGGGAAAATCACACACCATTTTATGATCTCAAGGCACATCAATTTAGTAACTCAGTGACAGAAGAACAATTTTAGGGAAGCCAAGTATAGCCGTCAGCTAAAGGGAGAACTAGAAATTTTGGAAATAGATAACCCCTCTCAAGTGTTCTGTCTTGTACATGTGCCACCATTATGGAGCACCTTGTCTCCAAGCCCTTCATCATTTCTCCACCTTACTAGAGAACACAGAAGCCTGGGAAGAGTTTTATTTCTTTGGTTTGGAGGTTAAAAAAAAAATAGACATGTATTCTTTCACAGAGTAAGAATGGAGGCTGGTCAGTTCAATTCCATGGTCTCTCGAGCAGTTCAACAGTGTCCTCAAGGACCTAAGCTCTTTCCATATTCTGTCTGCCATCCTCACGGTGCTGGTTTTTTCTTGAGGGCTGTTTCCACATTGCTGCAGCATGGCTGTTGCCGTTCCAGACTTGAACAGGGTTTTACAAAGCCATTCTTTGGGTCCCCTCACATGCTTTCCTTCACCCAGTCAGCTGCAGGGTGCAGAGCTAAATCTGGGAGAGTAGCATGGGAAAAATATAAGCAAAACTGTTTTGATGGGGTTTTAATACTACATCTTGGGTGTTTGGTACAAATTAAATGACTGCATTTTTGATTATGTAAATTTAAAATCCCATATATGCTAAGTGGTATAAAATGTAAAGATTCAGGGTATGATTTACTTGATTTTCTATTTAAAAAAATGTGAATACTTGACAGTGTTGTAATTTTTGCCTTTTTTATATGTGTACTTTTGTGTGTATACTTGAAAATCTCTTCTAAATCAACTCCTGTCCATCTTATTTAGTTCTTTGATTCTGATGGCGTATTTTCCCAAACATGTTACCTTAGGACATTGTAGATGCACAGTGGTACTGTTGAATGATGGACTGTGATGTTCAGTGTAGACCTTTCAGTTGTACAGAATCTTTCTCCTCTCCTCTTTAGGTGGAAACCATATTTCTTGTGAACTTAGTAAAGTTGAATGTATGCTGTAACTTGTGTTCTCCTTGGCCAAAATGGATCAAACACCGGGAGAGGGTACAGTGGGGCAGGGTAGAGGTGGTAAGTTCCTCAGAACGATAGCCTTGAGATCATGGGACTCAGTTCCTCTCCTGACCTGCAGTCTCTCCTTCCATTGTCCCTTCTCAGCATTAACACATTGGAAGAAAGTAAAAATCATACACAAGTGAAGTCAATGTCTTGGTTATACTAAAACTACTTCCCTGCTCCTTATGGTGTGACATTTTATCAGAACGCTCTTCGATAAGGTTAGCACTTACAGAAACAGATAGTTGGCTGGCAGGTTATATAGCAAAGGTCACTTCATTCTCTACAGCTTTGGATTAGTCAAACAAAACCAAAGTGTTTTGGACCCAAGTCTGGTTACCATGTATACGTACGTCATTTTCTTTTTTTATTAATAGTTCTAGCCAGTTTTTACAAACCCCAGTGAAAGCTGGCAAAATCTCTCTAACCCTCTCAGCCATAGAAAAACCGAGTTCCTCCACAGGCTGTGTCCGTGGTTTTAGCTGAATTGAATTCTAAGCAGTTTGAAGACATTTTTCTAGCTAAAGGCATTGTCCTATCCCTGGTTTATACAGTACCCTCAACTCCTGACCAACTTGTCACTGTGAACTATTTATTCTTGAACTTATTTCTCCAACTGCCTCTTAGTCTTCCCATTCTGGGCATCTATAATTACGGTATATTTTATTTACAGTCTAGTTTTCTTCTCATTAGCCATTGGTCCCTGACTTTCTCATTCCAAATATATTTATTTCTATCATCTGTTTTGAAGCATAAATAATGACATTTTGTGTACCATTAAATGGTTAATAACATAAATATATTTTGCTGTATATTGAAGAGGGGGTCTATTTATGGCATATAAATATCTAACATTAATTTATTAAGTGGTTTACAAAGATTTGGGCTTCATTTTGTCTTTTTCTTTTTTTCCCAGAAGGTTAGTTTCAGCAACCCTACTAGGGTCTGTGATTTGGATGTTAAGCTCACTTGAGCCAGGAAAAATAGGAAGATGCTTACATAAAATTGGCTCTTTCAAAGATGCTTTTCAATTTTAAAGGGAAATTGAAAAAATCAGACTATAATGAATTTATAATTGTATTTAATCATTTCTCTGTACTTTTGAGTTATTGAAATCGTCCTTTAATAATGCATCAGTTTCCTTGGTGAAAATTAATGGTATTTTTTTTAACCTAGTCTTGTAATTTGGTAAGGGTAGAAAGTGTTAGAAGCCAAATTTGTAATGTTATCTAGAAGATGACAACACTAAGACAGTGGGTAAACAAATACGGTGTCACTTTATTTCACACTCCCCAAATTACCTTTGATGAGCTTAAGAGGTTGTTTCATTTATAAATAGAAAAAATGTATTCACAGTACTTTGGCATACTATAAAAGTCTAATTATTTAAAATGTCATCTATTCAGGTAGCATTAGGAGGAAAATGGAAATAATTGTTTTCAAGATATAAGGTAGACCTGACTATAGAGGACAGTGGAAAAGAGTAGCAGTGGGTATTGACTGCTTTTTAGAGAAAGAAAAATTCCATGCCATTGCTAAATGTTAACAATTGCAAAAGGAAAATTCCCACTTGTGAAGAACATTTTTTCAGTTTGCTTCATTGCCAGGTGTTTGACATTGTGTGTTGTCTTAGATGAATAAGGCTTAGGGCAGCCTTTAGGAACGATTCACTCCAAGGACCTCTGCTTCCTGCTGTGAAAGCTTCTATTTTCATAGCATGCCAGTATCAGTGGGAATGTTCCCGTGGTCACTGTGCTACTTCTAGCAAAGACCAGAGTTTTCCCTCTGAAACTGGGATAGCTGTAGAGGAGAATACCTGTCTGCTAACAAAATTAATTTCAGAACATTGTCAGTGAAAGAAGTGCATGTTGTCTACAGTTTATGAGATTGAACTGTGTCACTTATTAACAAAAATAAGCCTTGCTTTCTTGTGGTCCCTTTTTTAACACCATTGCATTCTACAAATATGATTTACAATCATTCTAAAGTTTAAAAAATCCAAATAATGGGATAGTTGCTTTGAGACCATCTGTATTTTCCCCTTTCCCTTTTTCTCTGTCCTTGACCCAGCAGCAGGAAGCCATTGTTTGAGGTGTTCATCTGGAACAACTTTTCCACACTTGTTTTCATGTTCTGTTAGATTACAGGGCAGCAGGCCTACCTTTGAAGCTCCTTTCTCTTTTGTTTCTTTGCCGTGCACTCCAGTAATTAACTTTGTCCTTCTTTTATTTGTTCCAGTCAATCGCAGGCCACTCTGCTGAGCATCTTCTCCCAGGAGTACCAGGTTAGAAGTTTTCTCCTTTGTGAGGGTTGACAGGTGCCTAATTGAATGATGAATGTCCCTTTATTTCTTTGTAATTGAACTGCCAGCTCTCTGATTGGGTTGGAGGATGTTCTCCTTTCCACATCAAGCACCGCCTGCGTCTCGGTGGAGGCCTGCCAAGCCTACCCATCCATCTGTCTAATAACATCTAGCCTTTGCTTATTTGGTGGACCTGTAATAAATTATGCTAAACCATTATTATTCTGACAATAATAATTTCCCTGTGTTGCGTGGTTCCATGTGCTAAATGTTTGCTGACTTGCACTGTCAGTGCTGCTTTCCATTGCTGACAGAGATGATGATAAATGACCATTGCTGGAGTGGCAGAAGGCAAGAGAGGCAGAAAATGGAGTCATTTATCATAAGATGACAGGTGTCAGTCAAGTGGCAAGTCTCTATGGAATTACTTTTTGTAGTTTTCAAATAAGTTGTTTTTAAGCAATGTTCTTCCTGGTTAAAAATGGCAATTGGATTGTAAAACCACAGTGCAGAGGACTTAGATGGAATTGAATCGAGGGAAAATTAATACAAAGGTTGAAAGAGGGAACAAGTTTTTCTTTGCCCTCTGCAGCCCTAAGCAAACTTATTTACATTCAATTACTATGACCCTGTTGGCTTTTACATATATACTGTACCTTGTGGTACAGTCTGAAGACATCCAGCCAAGCAATAGAGATTAAAATGCATAGGTTCATAGACGAGAAGGAAAAGAAGTCCTGCCATTACCAAAATCCCCAAACTATTATTCATTGTTCCCTATGTGCTAGTCATTGGGATCAAGAAATACGTCATTCTTGTTTTGAACCTCATCTATGATATAACAAGGATTTTTTTTTTTTTTTTCAGAAACACATTAAAAGAACGCATGCCAAACATCATACTTCAGAAGCAATTGAAAGTTATTACCAGAGGTATGACCTTCCTGCCCCACTAGAGGGTATCATAGTACCTATTAATTGTAATAATAACTGTGAATAAGTTAGGTTATTAATTTTCTATATCATATCTCAAGACATTCTGTTTTAAGTCTTTTATTCAAAAGTTTTCGTATGTTTTTGAATGAATTTTCAAATGCTTTGTTTCGTAGATCTGAAGAATATGGTAAGGCTGTCTTGACTGTGTGTGTGTGTGTGTGTGTGTGTGTGTGTGCGCGCGCGCACACACACATACTGTTGGAGATGTAGTTAAATATTATGAAATCTCAGTTGACTACTTGAAACATTATATAAGTGCATATTTTGTCTACATGCATATGCTCATATATACATATATCTACATGTATTTGAAAGTTCTCAAACCAATTTTCATTAGATTAGCAAGTTGAAAAAATAAGATTGAATTTGGATGCCATTGTATTTTGGCATGATAGATATTAAGATAACCATTTTAGAAAGGAAAAAGGACATATCAAGTAAAGGCACATGGAGATATAGTGTGTAACTGTCACATTTTAAAGGGGATTTTATATTTTTAAAAGTCAATCTTGGGTATTAAATCAACAGCATAGTATCGAGGAGATATTTTAATTTCAGCCTAATTTATTATAAATAGTTTTCAACTTCTTGTTCTGAAATAAACAGAATCTTTAAAAAGACTCTGATTTTTTTAATTCTAAAATTTATATTGTCATTGTAGTATGACTGAATAATTTATAACAGTAAATGGTAATGGTTTGCATTAGAAATTGTTGGTTGGTTTCTTAAATATTTCAAGGGCACATTGGAAATGAAAGCTGTTTGAAATCTGCTCTTAAATTATTATACTTAAGATTGACAGAGGAACCTTTCTGTGGAGAGAGTGACACCACTGATTTTAGATGAATGATTTTTATGTGTAAAAATTTTATGAATGGAATAAATGTGTGGATAAAATATTGGTGTCATATTTTGGTGAAGTCATTTTATTTGGAATCAAGAAAGGGATATTGAACAGAAACATCACAGAAGTTAGATTTTTTTAAAAAAAATTACTCACTCTTGCCTGCCGGGCGCGGTGGCTCACGCCTGTAATCCCAGCACTTTGGGAGGCCGAGGCGGGTGGATCACGAGGTCAAGAGATCGAGACCATCCTGGTCAACACGGTGAAACCCCGTCTCTACTAAAAATACAAAAAATCAGCTGGGCATGGTGGCACGTGCCTGTAATCCCAGCTACTCAGGAGGCTGAGGCAGGAGAATTGCCTGAACCCAGGAGGCGGAGGTTGCAGTGAGCCGAGATCGCGCCATTGCACTCCAGCCTGGGTAACAAGAGCGAAACTCCGTCTCAAAAAAAATATATATATATATTACTCACTCTTCCATATGTAGTAAAAGATACACTTTGTTTGGAGTAGTAATACCTATTAAAGATACATGCACCCATTATATACACATAGACACAGACACACACACACTTTTGTGTCTATGAGAGATCCTCTCTAAACAAAACCTGTGAAGTTTAATGATTTATTCGAAAGTCATAACCTTGTTGGTGAAATTGACATTCAAATTAAAGTCATAACCTAAATTATACATATGAAATTAAGAATGGCCCATGAAGTGCTATAAGGCCTGCAACTGTGTTGGTATCCAGACTCTTCAAAGAAGCACTGAAGGGTTATTTACATGCCAAAAAATACATTCTTCTTTGTAAACATTATAGTCCTAGGCTGTCATATAAAAGTATGATTTTATATCCAGATTTTAAAGACTTGTAGCGTGTACAAAGAAAATAAAGCATTTTAAAGGAAAGTATGCTCTTTTCCTAGAAAATTGGAGATCCACTAACAGGTCTTGGGGCTGTCCTCTGATACTCATTTGCCTCATTGTAAGAAGGTTGTTTTAATTATTAATAGATGATGTCTAGGATCACTAGGTGCTGCTATTTAAAATCTAAGTTTCATTAAAAGGTGTATGTAATAATTGAAGTATGAACATACTTTTGTTCGATTATCTGGATATTATAGGTCAGAAATGAATATATTTCTTTCTTTTTTTTTTTTTTTTTTTTTTTTTTTTTTTGGGACTGTTTCTCTCTCTGTCCCCTAGTCTGAGGTGCAGTGGCATGATCATAACTCACTGCAGCCTCAAACTCCTGGCCTCAGACAATCCTACTGCCTCAGTCTCCTGAGTAGCTGGGATTATAGGTGCACACCACTGTGGCCAGCTAATTTTTAAAAAAAATTTTTTATAGAGGCAGGGTCTTGCTACCTTGCCCAAGCTAGTCTTGAACTTCCGACCTCAAGTGATCTCCCACCTCGGCCTCCCAAAGTGCTAGGATTACAGGCCTGAGCCACCATGCCCGGCCCAGACATAAATACCTTTAAGGATACCCAATGATGAATAGCTGAGTGGATAATAGTGAGAATACATAAATACATTTCTTTAAATTTATTTAAATGTGACAGTCTCAATTATTTCAAAGAGTTACAGCATTTGAAACAAAAACATGAAGTTAGACTGTAATGGAGAGTCGCAGAAGAAAGCAGTCTGAGCACTTTCTGACTTTACCAACCTGCTCTCTGACTTTGTGCCCTGCATTTTGTGCTTGGGGACAGGCCATGTTGTTACCTTTCAGATGAATTGACCTCAGTAGCCTTTTGTTTGAAATGTGCAGGTCAAATGTTCCTGTCTGTGCTAAGGTAAATTGGCCTTAAAAGGTTTTTGTTTGTTTTCCAGCAGATTAGAATAAAGCCAAATTGTGTTTGTTATATCAAAACATATTTAAGCATTTTGAAAATGTTAATGTCAATTTTATTTGATTTTTTTCTTTTATAAAGTAATACTCAGCTATTGTGAAAAGCAAGCACATTTGTAATGATATTAAAAAGGAATGAATGATTGCCCATAATTGTGCCACTCAGAGATACCTACTGGCGTTTTTCATTTTAGTCTTTTGTCAGCCCATTTTTATACTGATGTGGTCATATTATATAAGCAATTGTGAATCTAGAGTTTTATGCTTGGAAAACGTCTATGATATATTATTTTTTAAAAGGCTTTTTGTAAACATTTTTTGATTGCCTTATTTCATCATACGAAAGAATCATAATTTACTGAATTAATCCCTTTGTTGTACATATGTTTCCAATGTTCTATTATTGTAAATAATACTGTGATAAACATCTTGATGCATGGGTCCGCATTTCTGCATGAGTTTCTTAACATTTCTATATATGTAATTATTGGTGTAAACAATGTGAACATTTTTAAAAAGTATTATATATTCTCAAATTACTGTCTAGAAATGTACTGGTTGCATCTGTTGAACAGGGTGGATCTGCTCTGAATGTGTTTGTTTTCCAATCTGTTTCCTAACTGTATCCTTTAACACTTCGTAAGTGCTAGGAAAAAAAAATTTAATTTGAAGTTTTATTGGTGTTTTCTGGAAACTTTAGTTATCCCCCACATCTAAGTGGCAGATCAGGCTTTATTTAAATTTTCAGATATGCAATCAAAGGAACATAACTAATTACAAAAAATATTCCATAAAGATAAAATCAGAAAATCCTAATGCTATATTTCTCTGCATCCTCATAGCATCTTGTGCAGACTTACAGCATTGCACTTTTCACACCGGTATAATGGTTTGCTTTTGTCTCCAGCTAGCCTGAAAACTCTTTGGGATAGAGCTACGCAAAAACAAATGAACACTGAACGCTCGTCCAACTCTGGCAAAGACCTGAATTGCAATTGGGATAAAAGGATGTCATCCTTAATGCTATATTAAGGTGACCTGGGCTCCATTCCTGACGCCTATTTGCCAATTAAAACTGCTTTATACAGAAGGTATATCATCCTCTAGCTTTGCTACAGGAGGACTAACAAATAGACATCGTATGGGTGAAATCATCCTTAAAAGATCCTCAAAGAAGGCTCATTTTATGATGTTTTTTGAGTGTGAACGACTCATTCATATCTAAGATGAAACTAGTAGGTACTCATTTCAGATATAAGGCAAAGTTCTCCATGCTGTGGCCTAAGAAAATCCACAGCCCTGTCACTGAGTGTTTTCTCTCAGCTTGGAACACCTTCCACTTCCCTACAAACTAGTAAAGGTGATAAGTTTGTTTCTAGACTACTATATAAACAAGTTGCCCCAGATACCCCAGATCGATAATTCTTGGAACTCTCACAGCACTCTGTATAAACATACCTCTGTTAGCACTTCTCTTGCTGCATTTTACATACTTCCATACACAGCTCTTTTCCCACTAAAATTGACAGTTGAAGGCAGGTACCGTGTGTTACATTTGTATTGTTGGTTTCTAGCATCGTAAACAGGGCATAATGAGTGTAAAATAGATGGTGCTAACTGAACAAAAAAGTGGTCAAAAATTTCAGAAACTATTTTATCACATATATATTACCAATATCGTGTTTAAGCCAACGTTTTTTACATGTGAACATCTGAATAATGTTGTGTTGATCTGATCTTCTAATGCTGCTAAAGCTGGCTCCTCGGCCAGTGTGCTGGAAGGGAGGAAACGGAGACAGTATTTCTAAACCACTGTTGATGGGGACTTGCACATCTGACCAACTGTGTGCATGTGCACATAGGCTCTTGTGCACCAATTTAGGCGAACCTAAATAAATTTCACCAAGAATGTTTCCTGTTTAGAAATGAAATGGCATTAGTACAGTGTGAAAGAATGGAGATTGTTTTCAAAATAAACTCTTGAGCTATGTCTATTTATATACAGCATGGAGAATCGAGGAAATTTCTTCAATAATTCAGAAGCTTGAGAAAACGTTTTTTGAAATTTTTTAATGATTGTATATTTTTTTGAGACAGGGCCTTGCTCTGTCACTCAGGCTGCAGTGCAGTGGTGCAGTCTCGGCTCACTGCAACCCCTACCTCCTGGGTTCAAGCGATTCTTGCGTCTCGGCCTCCTGAGTATTTGGGATTACAGGCACACGCCACCATGTTGATCTAATTTTGTGCTTTTAGTAGAGACAAGGTTTTGCAATGTTGTGCAGGCTGGTCTCAAACTCCTGGCCTCAAGTGATCCACTGCCTTGGCCTCCCAAAGTGCTGGGATTACAGGTGTAAGCCACCGTGCCCAGCCAGAAAACATTTTCTACTATCTGGATGTTATGACGTTTCTGTTAACTGTGATGAAATCACATAAAATACAGACTCTGATGGGAGGCCGAGGCAGGCAGATCCCCTGATGTCAGGAGTTCAAGACCAGCCTGGCCAACATGGTGAAACCCTGTCTCTACTAAAAGCACAAAAACTAGCCAGGTGTGGTGGCACACACCTGTAATCCTAGCTACTTGGGTGGCTGAGGCAGGAGAATCGCTTGAAACTAGGAGGTGGAGGTTGCAGTGAGCTGAGATCATGCTGCTGTACTCCAGCTTGGGTGACAGAGCAAGACTTCGTCTCAACAAGAAAAAGGATACAGACTTTGAATTCTTAATTGATATCAACTCAATGCTAGTAAGAATGCGGAGACACATGAATTCTTCTGGGTGTTAGGAATGGAGCCCAGGTCACCTTAATGTAGTGTTGAGAGTGACGTCCTTATATCCCAATTGCAATTCAGATCTTTGCCAAGGTTGGATGAAGATTCAGCATTCATTTGTGTAGCCCTACCCCAAAGAACGTTCAGGCTAGCTGGAAACAGGAGCAAACTATATTATACCAGTGTGAAAAGTGCAATGCTGTAAGTTTGCACAAGATACCATGAGGATGCAGAGAAAGGTGGTATTAGGATTTTCTAATTATGTCTTTATGGAATGTTTTCTGTAGTTAGTATGTTCCTTTGATTGCATATCTGAAAATTTAAATAAAGCCTGATCTGTCACTTAGATGTGGGGGATAATTAAAGTTTCCAGAAAAGACAAATATAACCTCAAATTAAACTTAATTTTTTTTCCTAGCACTTATGAAGTATTATAGGACATTGTTGGGAAACAGATTGGAAAACATATACATTCAGAGCAGATCCACCAAGTTCAACATATGCGGCACCTCACTAGGCCTTGAGGGATCAGGGTTCTTTCTCAGGGTTCCATAGCTTTATTATTTACCAGCTAAGAGAGCCCAGATGGGTTTTATCAGTGCCGTGGGGTTTGGTTTCTTTATATGACCAACTGGGAAGCTTTACCAACCTCATAATTAGGAATTTCCACAGTATTAAGTATGATTATGCTTTTAATATTCCATAGAATGCATAGAAACAGGGGGTTATTATTTTTTACCCACCTTCTATTTCTTTAAACTTAATAGAAGTGCTTCATTGGTCATTAGGAGGCTAATGATTGATGCAACTTTTACATGAAGCCATGTCATTTTGACTTAAAGCAACAGCTGTCTGATATAAGAGGTAGTTGGGCATCTAGCTACTCTCTTTCACTATTTACAGTCACCTCTTACCATGGCATGCACCTCCTTTTCATGCTGGTTTCTATGCAAGTGTCACCTCCTCAGAGAGGGGCTTCCTGAGCTTCTCATCTAAGTTTACATTTTATTCTAGCATATACCATTATTCTGTATATTTATCTCCCTGTCTTTTTATTGTTTGTGTCATCACTGTAATATAATGTCTGTGATGGTGGGACCATGAATGGTTTTTTTTTCTTTTCTTCCCTGGTGGTCCTTTAGAACCTGGAATAAGACCTGACACACAGCATTCCAAAATATTTGTTGGGTACTGAAACTGAAGTAGAAAGCTGTAAAGATATCCCAATATCGGTGTAGCCTTAATACGCTGACCCAAAATCAGAACCCTCAGTAATATGCACTTCCGGTGGTTACAAACACCCAATTAGCTGGTCTGACTCTACTGAATTGATTGGTTCCTTGGGTTGTATCAGTGCAGTGGACTTGTTCGTGAAAATTGATGTGAGGTTCTTAACAGACCTATTTCCCAGGGACCTTTCTCTAAAGCACATCTGCCTTGTTTTCTTTTTCTTTTTCATCTTGTTTCTGAAAGTCCTTATTTCCTAATTAGTTTCCCAAATAATATATTCAAGGCTAGTCCCAGTATATGGAAAATGGCTTTGTTAGACTTATTTTGAAGTTATAATGATCACAGGCTCTCCCCATCTTAAATAATTTGCTGTTACACCACATTGCTTACAGGAAAATTATACAACTTTATAAATATACTCATGAAATAATATAATTTAGTACCTGCTCCTGGCAGTTATGTGAAAGACCTCACCTGTTGACTTTGTTTTTTACTCTAAGGCAAATATCCAGAACTTATTCACTCTAATATACTGTAGGGAAAATGTCCATACCTTATTCTGCTTTCTTGTCCAGTATGGTTTTAAAAAATTATTTAATTGTTCATTTATTAAAGGAAAAATATAAGGTGTATTTTTATTATATAATCACCTACTATAAATGAAGTACATGCAAGGTATAATAAGTGGAATAAAATACAATTCTTCAACCTTCATGAGGCTTTCAACATTACAGGGAGGGATAGGTCTGAGGTAGCCAGATAATAGGCATATACAATATGCTACGTTACATGATAGAAAGATGTGCAAGGTATTCCTTGATTACATATGAGGAGCACTTAACTTAGTCTTATATGGTAGTGGCTTGAAGAAGGTGACATCTGAATTGAATCGTGAGTTATCCAGGTGAGGGACAGGAGTGGGAGACTGTGACTAGAGATGAGACTGGCAGAGTAGAGTAGGTAGGAACCAGATTATGAAGACCCTTTCAAGAGCTGTTAAATGGTTATAATTTAACCTTGAGATTTAATGTGGGGCCTTGAAGTGTGTTAAGGAGGAGAATGACACATCCAAATTTCTGTTTTATTTTCTTTTAATCACCCTAGCTTCCATGTTAGGGGTTTTGTTTTGTTTGGGTATTTTGGGGGAGTTTTGTAGTTTTTTTCCATATGGAGTGAGAGGATAATGAGAGCGGGAGGTTCTTACAGAAATCCAGGGCAGGTAAGGTGATGGCTTATATTGCCTGTCACAGGTGTGCTGACCCACTGATGACATGTCTGTTCCATTGTTTTCTTAATAAGGTGTCAAGCAGCCCTATGAAACAGAGGAAATGGCGAGATGGGTGTTTGAATGCTTTTCTCAAACTATATAGAAGTCAACTTCTGTCCTTTCCATGCAATGGTTGTCTGTGGTAGAGGCAAGGCAGAATGATATGGATAGTTCCTCTTATTTACTTTATATGTTGGGAGGTGAAAGAAAAAAAGGAGACCTAAGTATTTACATCTCCTGCCCCCACCCTCAGCTTCTTAGCTTCCAGTGGTTTTAAGATGAGTTGTTTTGGTTATTTTTCCCTTCAGTGCTTTCCTATGACAGTAGCTTACTGTCATAGGAAAACTAGAGTTGAAACTAGATTTAAAAGCCTTGAAACTAGAGTTGAGCATGGCATTTGCCCAGGAGAAACGTATACACACACAGGGGATGCTGACAAGTCTGTGCTGGCCTTTTCTTGTCGCTGCATTACCACTTGGCTTTGTCTTGTCTAGGTACTTGAATGGAGTGGTAAAAAATGGAGCTGCCCCAGTGCTCCTGGACCTGGCCAATGAGGTAATGTTATTGTTATGATTTTCTTTAAACCGGATTGAAACCTAAGGGGCCTATCTAGAGTTATTTTGCTTACAATTATAATTGCCTTTGGGAAAAAAAAGGTTTTGAGGTGCATTAGACATTTAAATTGCTCCCTTATCTCTTTGTACTTTTAATAATTGGACAAAGAACTTCACCTATTAATAAATCAGTTGACATAATTAGTCTACTTCTTTTAAGGCAAATGTCTAAACAGCCTCTTGGATTTTGGGGAAAATTTCAACCAAACAGCTCAGGACATGCTTTTCTCAGGATAGGTTGTCTTAATTTAGTGTGAGAAATACCTGTGTCAAGTAAGGAGATGGATGCCAAAAAACAAAACAGAACAAAACAAAAAACAACCTGCTGTTATACAAATGAAGAGAGTAATTGTATACTTAAAGATGTACTTGATTCATTTTTTTGTTAGCAAACTTTTATTATAAGAAAAGATACATGCCTTGTAGAAAAGTCTCTTTCTTTATGTAGAGAAGTATGGTGTTCTTATTAACATCAGGTAAGAAGTGATTTATTGAACGTATTTGTTAACTCTGATCTGTTTCTGTTTGGGGAAACAAATAACAGCCTTTCATTTAAAACAGGAAACCCTACAGATTTCCCATGAATGAAGAAGCTGTGAAAAGTCCATAATAGTTGCAGAGAGCATACTGAAAAAATAAAATATTTAATTCCTAAACTTTAAAATATTTATCCACTGTAATAAGAGCAATACAATATTTAGTCTGACTTGGAAGTGCTTATGCAAACCTTGTAGGGATGGAATGAAATGTACACTCTTTTTGTGTTGCATTATAATGGAAAACATAGAAGCAAGGCAGAAAATGTGTGTTTGCATTAAAGATAACTCGGTACTGTGAGCATTAAGTGTTGCAGTAGCAGCAAGTTCTACATGTTATATTAGCGAGGAAGGATGGCTTCCCTCACAGCTTCTGTCTGCTGCTATACACTGCTGCAGTCAACAAATGAGCATTTACCTATCAGTTACTGGATGGTTTTAATAGTCTAGTCAGTG